CAAAAAGGGAGTGAGGGGCGTGGGGGGGAGGGGGAGGGGGCTTGGGGTGATGTTTCTGTACAGTTCTCTCGTGTTGGCCAAGAATGCCGAGGTTTTCGGGTGGAGGGAAAAGAAGAGAGAGACAGCTTGAAGAGTCACCGTGAGAGAGAGAGGTGGACAAGTAATAATCCAGTGGTGGGGGATACTCACCCTCGAGCCCTGACACGCGGTGGGGGTGGGCACACTGTCATGGCGGCGCATGCAATAGCCAGGGAAGCGCCCGGAGAATACTTGACAGGAGGATAAAATTCCTGGATTTTTTTCACGTGATTTCTCCTCTGTGAATTTTTAAAAATTAAACTCTCCAGTTTTGTAGAAGTGATCCTCACGATTTTTTTTCCGTCTCAAGTGTTTTTACTCGTTGGGAAAAAAAAAAGAATTATCACCAGTGACTTATCTAAATGTGAGTGCCTGTCTCAATGTGAATTTATCGTATTGTGGACCCTCCGGAGACTCTGACAGACCGTTGAAATCTGACTAGAAAATGTTTTAACGTTCTCAGGGGATAATTTGTGTGGTTTATCGGTGAGTTTGAGATTAAATCCCATGGAATTTGAAATTTAATTATCGTGTGGGTAACGCTATTTTCTACTGGGGATGAGTAACCCGGAGATTGGGTAAATTGAAGGGACAGTTTCCTGAGAATTGACTGATTTTTTCTGGGAATTGAGTCGCGTCAGGTGCATTCATTAGGAGTATTTATGAGACGTGAGGGAGATGGGGATCTTGAGTGGTGCATCTGTGCCGGGCGATGCAAATGAGGGGTCGCACTTGTCAAATATACATGGGGGGTCGTGTTTTTTTTTCTGTCCCTTCGGTTATGGCTGAGGGATCCTCACCCGAGGCACTTGCGAGGGTGTAAGATACCCTGATATGCCGGGATTCTTTTTATTAATCCGGGGATTGTGTGGCGATATTTAACTTGCCCCGCCCGCGACCCCGGTGGGTCGAGGTCCTCGGGCTGAATTTTCCACCGGTTTTCCGGGTATTTAAGCCCACGTGATGATACGGAATAACCACACCCCTCGTAACTGGCGGGGGGAAGGGATGATTGAACTGTTTTTCCGGGGTTTTTCCGATCTTTTTGGACTTAAAAGTGCATTATCGAGGATTTTTTTAGGGGAATGAGGGGTGCGGTGGGTGGAATGAGGTGAGAGGGCGATTTCATGGCCAATCGGGCGTAATTAAGAGTGTCTGGATGCACGACGAACTCTGCACATGGCCTCGTTCCGCTTGGCACAACGTTTGCAACCTGCAACATTCGTACGGTTTATGGGTAAGGTTATAGCCAACGTCCGGTGTGCGGTGAGACTCGTCTTTATTATTTAATGGAGGGGGAAGGTATCGTCTCACGCGCGGGGATGGAACGGGTGTCGGTTGTGCACACATATTTATGTGGTTTCCGGGGGAATTGTTTGGGCTTTTGAGGGGTTTCGGGAGGACTCGGGTGGGCGATATTACGGGTCACGGGAGAAATGACGCATTTGCATTGAATAGATTTTTTTTTCGACATTTTTTAAACACGTGAAATATCGGAATTTAATAAACTCATGGATCATTACTTGACGGTTAGAAAATTGGGATTACTATGGAAATTTCAAGTTTAAAATCTTGAAATTTTTGGCAAGGAATAATTCACATGGAATTTTCATTGATCTTGTTATTGATAAATCAGTCAATTTTCTTGGATATTCAATGAAATTTGATTTCTCAGGTTCATACGAGAATGAGAGTTAATGAAAATCGTGAAAATTCAGGCGACTTTTCTTCTGAATTTTCAATCTGTTGGTTAATTCAGTAGCGATATTACGGGTCACGGAAGAAATGACGCATTTGCATTGAATAGAATTTTTAAACACGTGAAATATCGGAATTTAATAAACTCATGGATCATTACTTGACGGTTAGAAAATTGGGATTACTATTGAAATTTCAAGTTTAAAATCTTGAAATTTTTGGCAAGGAATAATTCACATGGAATTTTCATTGATCTTGTTATTGATAAATCAGTCAATTTTCTTGAATATTCAATGAAATTTGATTTTTCAGGTCCATACGAGAATGAAAATTACTGAAAATCGTGAAAATTCAGCCGAATTTTCTTCTGAATTTTCAATCTGTTGGTTAATTCAGTAACGAAGTGGTAAAACGGTTTAGTCGACTCAGCTCTTAGCTGAGTTTTTGAAGAATATCTCCGAATCTAAGAAAAATATCGGAATTTTCATGAGAACCTTTTTTGTAGCTCGTAATTCGATCTACAAAAAATTTGCTCTGCAATATTTCCGAGATATTGAAAACTGACCAATAGTCAAAATCGACTTGAACCGTTTTACCGCTTCGCTACTGAATTTTCGCGATAAGTGTGAAAATCCAAATTGTCTTTGAAAGTTCAATGATCATTCACCATGATAACCTTAATTTTATTGTATTTCCAAGATGAATCAGGAATTTCCTGAGCAATTTAGTCTGAAATTGAATTCAAGTTCCGAATATTGAAAATTCAAATGCATCTGTTACTTAAATTTCAAAAAATTTCTAACAGTGTTGGTAATAAATTCGATTCCTTCGTCGTCTAAACAATAATTCCATTTCTACATTGAGAAAAACAAGTCTTGACTAATATCCTTGGTTATTAACTAACATAATTGCGCCAGTCATATTCCACGATTGAGTCGATTCCGTAATCGGCGAATGAATTATGAGTTCCGTAATTTTTACTGAACATTTATCTCCGTGCAAGTATATTTTATACTCATTTCAAGTATATTTTTTTTCCGTGTTGTGTGCTACACACTAGCTGTGGGGCCAAATAGGGATCACCAAAAAATTTGGATAATCCATCGAAAATTGGAATGTAGCACTCCAATTTTTGAAGATTTTGGACTTTTCCTTGTGGTTCCCTTACTGTACAAATTCAAAACAAGTTTTACTTGTACCAAAATTTATTAAAATCGCTTATTAAAAATGATCAAAAATGGATTTTTTTGTGCCAAACATGCGAAGCGGGCGCCGAGATGGAAAATTTTCATTGCAAAAATCGATTTAGTTTTTTCAAAAAAATTGTATTCTCTGTGCAAGCAAGAAAGATAATTTCTAGCACTACTTCTTCGTTATTCGCTGCTCCCAGGATATTCGAGGGATAAAAGTTTGTCATTTTGGCTATTCAATAATCACAGACAAAATATTAATTCTTAAATGAAATAATAATAATGATATAACAGCACATCTTGTAACTTAGGGGCAAAATATTTCTTGATAAACTTTCCTCTATAAAAGATATTTTTATCCTGAAAAGGCATCATCGTGTATGAACGATCCGCCTCTTCAGCCAAATATTTAGTTGTTGTTGAAAGTAGAGCAATTATTCATGTTTGAAACTTTCCAATTCGAACAAAACAATTATTTCTTAATAATTTTCAACTAACGATTTTGTTGGCTCCAACAAGACTTGTTTGAGAATTTGTTCGTTTTTCTCTCAGCTCACATCCACAATTTTTGCTTGAATTTTCTCAGCGTGGACTGTATATGGATCCACTAGTCTGTCCTGTGGACCGGGGTTTCGATACTATAGAGACCTTTAACACGCTATCCCCTACTACCGCTTGGCCGTTAAGGATATCCAAGTAGTTTGGGCAATTTTTTCTGGGGGAAATCCTCCTCAGAATTTATAGAATGGACCAAGAGCATTTTTTAGATGCAATAAGAGCTGTATACTCCCAGCTTCAATCCAGTAGTTTATATACTATTTCATACACTTTCATGCGTTTTTTTTTTAATACTCGTTAGATTCTAAAAAACAAAGTTAAGCATCCGTTTTACTTTATTCGCAATAGATCATGAATAAATGAATTTTGAATTTCATAAATTTTCTTTTGAACTCGCCTTTTCGCTTCAACCTGCCATTTTTTTGTTCATAAAAATGTACATTACGCATGATTACAATGTTCAATTACTAAAAACAATGAATTTTTAGTGCTACTCTAGAGACGCGAAAAATTTATGAAATTCAAAATTCATTTATTTATGATCTATTGCGAATGAAGTAAAACGGATGCTCAACTTTATGCTTTGGAGTGTAACGAACATTTTTGCTGCGGGGTCCCAAGGCCCAGTGAAGACTTAAATTGCAGCGACGTATCCCCTTAACAATTAAAATTGATCGACAAACGGAAAAGTTAATCTGAATTAAAATGACGATTTGAAAAAATTAGAAGCTGAATAAAAAATTGTTAATATTTTGCTACGATTAAGAGTGATGAAAGCCAGGATAAGGGGGAATTTATCAGGGGCGGTAACTCGTTCCAATAACTATGAACACTGCACTACCAATTACCACGGACATGTACAACTTGTCCGAAATACATATGTGGGGGGTTGAGCGGTGACATCGACCAATTAGTTGACCCCTCTGATGCCACTGGGGTAAAACTACCTCTCTCTGGTTTTTCATTTTTTTCAACATTCAGGTTATTCTAGCTATCAGTTTCATTGGCAGCCTGCGGGAAAATTCTGGGGGGTGATGTGTTCAGTTAAAAAATGAGTTTTTTTTTGTTTTCCATTTGCCGTGGAATTGGTGCAGGCGATGATTGGAACGGGCGAGGACCAACGTGGATAGTGGGACGGTGATTCGAGTGGCAGGAAGAGACAGCGGTGGTGGCGGTACGGCAAGGGTAATTGAACATTTTTATTAATCGAGTTCTTTTGTGGGTTTGCATTTTAATTTTTGTCGAATTCTTTGTGCTTTTCTGCTGGGGATGATTTATTGTGGCATTCTATTGGATTTCGAATTTTTTAATCGATTTTTTGTGAATCGACACGAGAACATTTTAGTTTGATTATTTTGATGATTTTGTGAACTAAAAAATAGTGTATTTTTATAAAAGTGCGACGGATTTTGCACGAGTGCACGGAGAGGAAAGTTGGATAAAAATTACTTCGAAAATCGATACAAATTTTACTACATACACTGATAGGCAGAATTAGTTATTGTTAACAAATGGATTTGGTTGAAGGCTGGGGTCTATTTGGTCTCACCAAATGTTCATTCGTTAATAGTTGATGAATGCAGATCTGAGAAGTCTTGTTTGACTCGACTTTCACCTTTCAAGTGAACCATTCGTTAACTATCAACGAATATTTATTTGGCCATATTCAACTCTACCATTCGTTAATAGTTAACGAATCTCGTTTGGAATAAATGAATCATTCTATCAGTGTATAGGGGAGAGTGGAGCAATATGAAACAGCGGGGCAAAATGAAACAGTAAAAAAAACGACTGTCTGACGCAATTCAAGCAAAAAAAAAATTTGATCGAATTTTTTTTTGTCAACTTTTTTATTATTCTTATAGAAGTACTGATGATAATAATAATTTTCCATTCAGTAGAATTAAAAATTATTGTGGAGGTTGAATGGGCGAAGATTTTGTCAATGGATTATTCGACTGAAATTCTGCATCATATTTTCCTTTTTCCCCGCCTGGTTCTCGCCCTGGGTCCTGGTGTGGACCTTGGATTTTGCTGTTTCATTTTGCCCCGCTGTTTCATTTTATCCCACTCTCCCCTACGAATGGTAAAGCTGGAGCGAAATGTAATTCAGTGAAGGAATCCGGGTTTTTAGTGGATATCTTGCGATTTTCTCAGTAAAAAATACATCTAGGGGAGAGTGTGCCTGTCCCGCTTAGCGGGTAATACCGCTCACCCGATTTTCTCCACAACCATCAACTTGAAAATTTCTTTCTGTTCCTGATCATGAAGAATTTGATGATAGGATGTGATTGTCGGAAAAATTTCACTTTATTTACCACTTTAAATATGAAAAAACACGTAACGAACTTTTGAGGTCTCTACAGTGCAAAATTTGTGGACTTTTAATTAAGGTTTTTGATAGTTTCAACCGCTGAATTCTCATATTAAACTGTAGTTATTCGATTCGTGGTACTTTCGTGCCTAATTTGAGACCAATTCGAACTCAAAACTCCACTCATGTCAATAATTATCAACAATTTTGTTGACGCCGAGCGGAGCCGGTAATACCGCTCATAGGATCGGCCACGTAGTTGCTCGACAGCACTCGAGTACAGGTTAGGTTGCGGCGCGAGCGATACACGCAAAACCCTATGAGCGGCATTGGAATCGTGCCGAGGGGTATTACCCAACGGCGGGTAGTACCGCTCAATAGGCTCTCTCTTTTATTTTCAATCAATTCTGTGGCCTCTAAGGAGAATTAGGCGTCTACACTTCCAGAATAACGAGTTCAATAGTTAAAGAAGTCTCACAAATACGTTTTTGATACTCAAGTTGAAATATAAAATATAAAACTGGCATTTCCCCTTAGGTGGGCGGTACAGGCACACCCTCCCCTAGTAAAATTTCCTTCACCGACAGAGGATTGGGTAAATTTTCCAGTTTCGATACAAATCACTCTCACGTTTAGTAAATTTTCCGGGGCCAACGGAGCAACATTCACTATTAATCTCACACTTTGTCTCCTAATTAAGAAAAAACACTGGAAATCGAGGTTGCTCCACGATTGCTTGACTTGTTTGATACGACGAAAGAAAAATTCAATAAAAATTACCAGAAAAAAAACTGAAAAATTTCGTTTTAAAACGTAATCCGCGAGCGAAGTAAAATTCAATAAAAAGTTTGAGTCGAAACTGAAATTTTACGAATCACCACGTAAATTCTGTGGGGATAACAAGTCGTTCCGTAATTTTTTCCCAACGATTGAGAAATTTTACGGAACGGAGCGTAGAAATAACTCACCAGCTTCATAAAAATCGTTGAACCTTCAAGAATTTTTGATTTTGGAGGCATAATAAGTCGGCAAGTTTCTGTAAGATTTTACTTCTTCGGGAAAAATTACGTGACAATTTCGTATTTTGTTCGGTGATGAACCTGAGAATTCACTGAACATTTCAAATTTCTTCGCTTCCATTCCTATAAAAAATGCCGGAAGACGATTCCCCATTGCGGATTACGTGAATTGTTCCGTAATTTTTACTGAATTTTGCATTTCCTACCAGAATTACTGGTAAAAATTCAGAGTCAATTTTAAAGACATTTTGCTGTTCTCTCGATAGCAGTTTTCACCGAAAAATCAGTTGCATGTCATAAAAACCTAAAGTCACTTGGACATTTTCCTGAAAAAAATGCGAAAAAGTCTCAAGTATTCATAACTCTTCCGACAATGGGGAAAATACGGAATTGCCTTGTGATACATGACTCTCAATCGATTGTAAAGCGAGTCCAATGTGAATGGCGCAGTTAATCAATTGCTCTTTGCCATGAGCAGACAATTATCAGCTTCACTCTTTCTCCGATGGCTGCAGTTATTAACTTTTCAAGTGCGTTTGCAGTGATCATTCTTCATTAAATCGTTGAAGAGTCAGCTACCCACCAGTAATTACTCACTCTCTCCATTAAATCTCATTTAAATGAATTTTAATCGTTGATTTAAGAGTTGATTTCCGAAACATTCCTCTCTGTCCTTTTGAAACAAAAAAAGCTCGACCAAATATCACGGATGTTGAAGGTTTTCGGAGAGTAACTGATACAGGGAATTCTCCGAGGAGTCATTCATTAACGGTCAAACATAAATGTAAGATTGATTTATCTAATGTCGTCATCACACGGAGAAAAAGTTGGGGAAAAATTACGGAACAAGTCATGTAGAAGTGAAGCAGAATCTATTTTTAGTTCGTTTTGCCTCCGAGTGGAAGCCTTGCAGTTGATTAAAAATGAATGTAAAATGCCCGAAAGAAAAATTATTCATCACTGATAATTTTTTACGTGAATGCTAGCTTTGACAAGAGTAAACAATTAATCCATTAAATTCTTTCTACAATTATCCTTTTAAACAATTGTTGCTGGTTTGACTAGAACATCCCGTACATTCGGGGTACCCAAAAACATGAATTATTTATCACAAAAGTTTGACACTGACGATAATTTGCGTATTGGGCGTAAAATACTTATTGATTTTTTTCCGATTGTTAACGATTTTTTCTACATTTTAATCCTCTCTCTAATTTCGGAATATTCCTTTTCTCCTGAGACTGTGTGATTTTTGAATTTATTTCAGTCTCTTCTAAAATTATGTACCCAGTCATTTATTCCCAGTAAAATGTCTTCTAGAACCAGAAGTTTCTCAATCAAAAATTGGTTTCAGAAACTAGAAACTTTGTTCTTTGTTTATCGTGTGATACGAGTCCATATCAAACTCCAAAAATAACTACTAGATCGTCTCTATCTCCCCTTTTGAAAAGTATATCGCCTGACCTAGACTCAATTACTGTTGAATTAAAGTGCAATTGTTCACGGAGAAAAATTCTTTAGAAAAATTCCAGTGTTGTTAAGGTAAAAAGTATAGGGATTTCTGATTAAAATTTTCGTGGAATTCTGTGACAATTTCATATAAGAATAGCAGAAATTCACGTCCCACTGAAGTAAAATTTCCAGCGCTAGCACTGGAATTTTCCCCTGACCTTTTATTTTTACTTTTAAAATAAGTGCGTTTTTGATGCTGAATTTTAGGGATATTTCTTCTAAAATTATGCACCCAGTCAATTCAGTAGCGAAGTGATCAAACGTTTTCCAGAAATATTTCCGAATTTAAGGGAGATAGCAAAATTTTCATAATAACCTTTTCGGTAGAGCGAATTGAGTGCTACTAAAAAGGTTATGAGAAAAATTTTGCTATCTCCCCTAGATTTCGAGATATTCATTGAAAACTGGCCAATATTAAAAATCGACTTAAACCGTTTGACACTTCGCTACTGAATTGTTCCCCTCAAAATGTCTTCTAGCCCCAGAATTTCCTCAAAATCCAAAAATTGGTTTCAGAAACTAGAAACTTTGTTCTTTGTTTATCGTGTGATACGAGCCCATGTCAAACTCCAAAAACAACTCCTAGATCATCTCCCCTCCCCTCGCATAATGACAAGGCGGAAATGTAACTCTCCTTGATGCCTCAATTAATCCCCCTCAATTTTTTCGCCACCAGGTACTATGGAAACAGGGGAATGGGGGGCGGCGGAGGGCTACAAGCCACGGAACTCCGGCGACGGTACCTGTTCACATCACCTCCACCAAATCCCAACAAGTACCAGGAATCATTAATAAGTGATAATGGACGCACCGATGATGCGTATCAAGGGGCAACAGTCGGTATTGCATCCGGCCAGCCCACTTGTATTGCTGGAATTAGTGGACGTGACAGACGTAAAACGTCCGATATTAAGGACAATACGTGGTCACAATTGCTCGAGGAGAAACTTGAGGACGGAAGGAGACGAAGAAGACGACGCGGAAGACGACGGGGGCGGAGTTGTGAGCCAATTAAACTTGAAATCAGTGGTACGATGAGAGAGGGCAACAGTAATGGAGAGTGGCAGGAGGTGAATGATAATTTTCAAGTACCCGAGAAGACTAGGAGAATTGATAAGGACTGCTGCAAGGGACTTAGACAAATGACGGAAATGGCTGTTGGTACATTGCTACTCGGTGTTGTCCTGCTCGTTACACCAGGTATACACTAATTGCTTCTAATTATTCAAGTGCAATAGGGGAATGTCTCGATGAGGATGTGCGTGAGAATTTGGTTGCCTATAGTTTATCACGTACTCGGTACGTTATGCACCCTCTTTGTGGTGGATATGTGTGGGAAAACGGAAAACTGAAGGAATTGTTGGAGATGAGGATAAGTATACGTTTGTGAAAACATCCGTTTTATGACTTCCGTTGTTATTTTTTAGTTCTTCATGTTTTTTGAAGGATTTTCAGCGGTATTTAGCATAGAACCATTGCGAGAGATACACTCTGAAGCTTATTACAGTAGAGGCTTCGTATAAGATACCTTGGGGACAGGAGGAGAGTGGAATTCCGGGAATCCCTGTGCCCCCACTACGCGCGTCCATAGAGAGGAGAAAAATAGGGACCAGAGGGTTTCAAATAAGATACCTCGCTCCTTGCACGGAGAGAAATGTTCAGTAAAAATTATGGAACTCACAGTTCGCTCACCGATTACGGAATCGACTCTGAAAATTCAAGTGACGGTACCGTAATTTTTCACAGGAAATTCAGATAAAAATTATGGAACCCTCCGGAAAAATTCCCTGACAGTTCCGTAAAATTTTCTACAACCACATTTCGCTCCGGAATTACGAAAAAGATACGTAATTTTTATTGAATATTTCTCGCCGTGTGCGCCCGAATTCAATGAAATTTTAATTTTTACTGAATGAATATCGATAACAATCAATTTATATGTTTAATGGTTTGAATTTGTATCGCCCGCGTTCCTTTTTCTCTCTAAACATAACCCGCGTGATAGAATGGCAGCTGATGTTGGGGGATTGTTGGTGGACTCGCTGATCCGTAGATGGGATTGAATCTTTTTTTTTAGAATTTTGATACAAGAATCACTTGTCTACTTGTATCAAGAAATTCGTGGCTTGAAAATTACGAAGCGCACAATATCTCACGCTGAGAAAAAAATCTTACGCCAAGAAATTTTATACTTGTCCGAAAGGTGAGGCCAATTTCTTCATATCAAGAAAATGAGTTCTCAAATCAATTAAAGTAGCGTTTGCATTAAATTATTTCAGAATTGAGGCTAGAAAACTATTAAATGAATTAATTCAATTTTACTTGGTTTGAGGAATCGCTTTCTTGTCATCAAGAAATTGTCCTCGTCTTTGGGACAAGTACAAAATTACTTGACGAAAGGTTTTATTTTCTTAGTGCAAGATATTTTACTCTTGAAAATTTTCAAGTCAGAAGTTTCTTGATGTAAGTGAAGACGTATTTCTCAAAAAACTTTGTTTTTGTCAGGGAAACCTACTTGTTTTGCTTCCAAATGGAAACTTTGTCATCGTTTATTGTATTCAAGTTTTGGATTTTTTGTGTTATATCGATCCAGTATGATCCACAAAGTCCGGAAATGCAATTTTTAGCGAATTTTTTAACGATGTTTTTCTTCAATTGGTCGCTGATCCGTAGATGGAATTGAATCTTTTTTTTAGAATCTTGATACAAGAATCACTTGTCTACTTGTATCAAGAAATTCGTGGCTTGAAAATTACGAAGCGCACTATATCTCACGCTGAGAAAAAAATCTTTAAAAATCCGGAAACGCAATTTTAGCAAATTTTTTAACAAAGTTTTTCTTCAATTGGTCGCTGATCCGTAAATGGAATTGAATCTTTTTTTTTAATGTAGGTATTGTAGACAAGAAGTTTTCTCCTGCGCTGAGTTTGTTGAAGGACTAAAAATACTCGGCGTAAAATTGATACTGAGCGTAATTAATGAAAGGGCCCGAGTCGAGAGCCTCAAGTGTAACAGGAAATCCTTAAATAATTTCTCTTTTCCTCTCTTCTTTTCACTGTTGAGGGAGTTAAAGTGTTTTAAGAAAATGACAAGTTGGATTCCCAAGGGGACGTGAGGTCGAGGATTTTAAGTGTGTCATGAGAATGTCAAGGAAATTCAGTGCAGTTATGAGAAAAAGGGGCAAAAATAGTTTTCTTGGGAGTAAAAACACTTCTTCAATTTCTATCGTCGTTGTTTTTATTCATAAAATTCAACGAAGAAGTAGAATTTCTGATGGACATGTTGGGGGGACTGAAGACATTTACATTTTGGATGTTTTTATTGGATGAATAAGTATTCGTTGGGACGATTCCGGTTAATATTCGATCGGAGAACTGGAGAACATTAATTGACACATGAATTGCATTTAAAAACATCAAATTCAGTAGCGAAGCGGTAAAATTGTTCAGACGATTCTGCCTTTAGCTGAGTTTTCGAGGAATATCTCCGAATCTACGAGAGATAATGAAATTTTTGTAATGAGCTTTTTTGTAGAGCGAATTGGGGGCTACAAAAAATATTTTGACCAACATTTTGCTATCTTCCTTAGATTTCGAGATATTCATTGAAAACTGGCCAATAGTCAAAATCGATTTAAACCGTTTTAGCGCTTCGCTTGTGAATTGCGCTTCTGGTTCTAGTGAAATCGTACCAGAAATTTTCTAAATAGCAATAAGTCCTATGTTATTGAAAATTGTGAACTGAAATTTCCGGTAAACTTCTTGGGAATTTTTATCAAGTGACATTTCCACTGAAATTGCATGGAATTTCGTCATTGCAAATTCATAATTTGATAGAAAAATCGATGAAAATTGTGAATTTCAGCGCAATTATTCTATGAGTATCTATAAATATTAGGCCAATCCGGGTAATTAAAAATATCATGATATTTTTCCCCTAAAGTAGAATTGAATGTCGTCCTCAGTTTTCAGAGAACTCATCGAAAATTTGTGATATTTGGATATCCAAGTAGGGGAGGATGGGGCAAAACGACCCCCCTTCAATCGTCAATATTTTCCGATTCAATAATCCGATTGGGATGAGTTAGAGCTCGTTTTGAAGAATGAAAAATTATCTTCAAAATGAAGTTGAAACTGGGAATTTTCACAATGTCATTCACAAGTTATTGACAATTGAAAGGGGGCCGTTTTGCCCCACCCTCCCCTACCTTTATAATTTGGTACAGACTCCACTGTAGATTCAACCATTTTCAATCATCAAACTTGTCAATTAAGTTGCGTGTGAAAAATGAAAAAAAATTAAAATTACATTTTGCACAGAATTATTATTTTTTTGAATGTTCATTGTTTATAAATAAATAATTGAAATTGTTTAAACTTTCGGAAGCCTTATTCTTTAGTCATGAAATCCATTTCTGGTAAAATTATGAATATGAATGAATTTATTACGATTCCGAACAAATGATTTTTGTGGTGGACTAAACATCGGGACATTTTTAATTTCACTGAAAAGTGTATGGAATTGCGAATGTTTGAGCAGCAGTTTCACAATAATTCCTCAATTCACATGAATTTGGGATTAATTGAAACTTCAAGGACGCATTCTTATAAATTATTTATAGAAAATGTTCGTAATTTTCAAAAATTACACTTTTTTGATTATTTCATCAATCTTTCTCCAAAAGTGAACTTTCTAATTTTTTTTCAGATTTTTAAAATGTTTCCGAACAGTTCAATATTAAGATTCATATTCAGACCTGCAAAGTTTAAATAATAAAATCATTATAAGATTTCCGGAGACTTGACGTCAAATGGAGCTCAAATAAAAGCTCCGATGTTCGACTACGAAAGTAGAAAAGCATTTCACTGGAGAAAAAATCGCTAAAGCACTTGAATACGTTACGCTTTCACTGAAATTTCAATGGACTTCGTCGTAATCCATTTCATTCATTATTTCATCGCATTCCTAATTTGATGAAATCCGGAATGGAAACTGTCATTTTGTGTCAGTCATTTGATAAAAATCAATAGAAATCAGAAAAAATCAGGTAAATACGTCCTTGAAGTTTCAATTAATCCCAAATTCATGTGAATTGAGGAATTATTGTGAACCTGCTGCTCAAACATTCGCAATTCCATTCACTTTTCAGTGAAATTAAAAATGTCCCGATGTTTTCCTCCTAAATCAACTACAACTAATTCCTTTCAATCAGTGAAAGTTACATAGACACATGAATCCCACAAAAAAATCAAATTGTGCTTCTCTAAGAAGTATCTAAACCTTCTAAAACGTGAATCGATCACAAATGTTCACTCATGATTTTCAAAAACATCACAATAACTCCTTTCCTTCAGAAATTCGATAACTCAAGGATTTTTCAATTCCCCCAGGTCTTTGTCACCAGGACGCAGTGCACATAACTGCCATACTCGGTGAAAGTGTGGTCTTCAACTGTCACGTTGAGTTCCCGGGTGAGCATCCAGTGCCCTACGTTCTCCAATGGGAGAAGAAGGTAGGCGACACGGTACGATATCGGACGATCAACCTCTCTGCTCTCTATCCGTGAGTTATAAATTTATGGGGCTTCGCTCGTGGCAACCCAAGCCGGCCTGGTACCTCCTCGATACCCAGAGATTCCGTCTTATCATTCAGTCATGAAGTGGAAAAACTCGATGAATCGACTCAACTTTACTCTCAAGTTCCTTCTGATAAATATCTCTGAAACTGTGGGGAGTCGTAAAAATTGTGTAAGCATTCTATTTTGCAGGAGAAAAGTGACTTTGAAAATTTCCAATTTTTTAGATGGAATGTGGGATAATTTGGCAGATCGAAATAACGCAAAAATTTTGATGGTGAATTTTCAGTAAAATCTGAAATTTCATGATTTTTTTCCACCTAAATCGCATTTAATGTCACTGTCCTGAAAATTCCAGAAGATATTCGCCAGAATTTTTTGGTTTTCTATTCGTTTTCAGGGAAGAAAGGAACGGAAATTTAAAGTTCTCGTTGATTTTTCCACAAAATTCTGAATTTTCAATGACAAGATTCCTTTAAATTCGGAGATTTTTCTCGAAAACGCAGCAAAGAATTAAGGATGTTTATCCAAAATCGCGAGTATTAAAAAAAAATTGATTTTTTTTTCAACTGAGAGATAAAGTTATTCACGCATGAAAAAATTCAATAGAAAACCTAGCGAATTCGCTAGGAAATTCTATTGGAAAATTCTATTCGTTTTTTGCTCTAATTTATTGGATATTCGATAAGAAAAAGTCAATTGATTTCGAATTTCTGTTTGAAATTTTCTCTTCAGATTTTTCCTATAAGAATGCTTGGGCATCAATTTTTCACTCGCATTTTGTAATGCAAAACAAAACAACATCCGTCGGAAAAACCAAAATTTTCTGGTTTCCTATTCATTTTCAAGGAAAAATGGAACGGAAATTTACAGTTCTATTTGATTTTTTCACGAAATTCTGAATTTTCAATGACATGATTTCCTGAAATTTCAGTGGAACTTGAACACGATAAATTTTCCGAAATTTGGCACAGAAAATTCAGACGAAAATTTTTAACAGTGTATAATTATCTACAAACAAAATGCACTTGTTGAGATATTTTGAAATTAATTTTGAAGTCGATTCAACCCGTTCGATTGCCTCATGACCGAATTCAATAGATTTTTATCGACAAATGAATGCAATTGGTACCAGGAGAAACCCTCGGAGCGCAGCCCCTCAATGAGACACGTCTAACGCCATTGAAAAAAAAAATTTTTTTTGTTGAACGTTTATGAATCATTGTCGTGACAAGCTCGATTATTATTTATGCTTCGTCATATCTACGTAAATTGATGAGCTTAATTGCCTATAAATGAATGAATACATCATTGAGAATTATGGAATAATAATAATTTGATGAATTATGAGAGATTAACCGGCGAACAAGACACGCCGTTCGTAATAAATTGAAATGTAGCAGAGTTATTAGTGATTATGATCGTTTAATATGGGAGAAAGTGTCTGCTATTTGTTATGGAATCCGGAATGAAGAGGGCAGAGCGCGTTTACAAACAAATAAATAAATAATTCAATAGTTCAAAGGGATTAATCAACGAATTGTTAAATTTTTTACCCCAAATGGATGAATCGAAGAGAAGTCTTTAGATTCCTTTGAGAATATTTCCGAAACTATCGACTTTAGGACGAAACGTCACATAACTTTCTTTGTGGGAAATTCAATAATCTACAAAAACGGTTTAGAGACATTTCGTCGTAAACCCATTAGTTTCCGAGATATTCGCGAAATAGTCCGGACAATATTTTTGGATTCATCTGCAATTGACATTTCGCTGCGGAATAACCATTAATCCCGGAAATTTATGAGCACAAGATAAATTTAGACCGTTGAGATGTTATTCGGAGCATTGGATACTCGACCAGAGGCCGTTGGCCTTCTTATTGATAGCACATTTTATTTATTTATTTGTCTGTTTATTGATAATTTAATTTAAGTTTGGAATAATTATAATCCAATTTCATTGAGTCATAAATGCTGCAATTCATAAATCATTCAAACCATCTGATAAATCATCAGACATTTCGTATTTGCTTGTAACTTCTCGAGTGATTATAACGAAAAAAAACAACACCATGCCTCTGTCTCTCTAATCTCTGGTACGCCTCGCATGATTTCAATATTTCATGGGTTCTGGATAATCCAGGAGAATCATTCATTTGAATCGAATACATGCCGTCGGTAGTTGGATTTGTGTAGCAGATAGTGCAATTTTTTTTTTCATTTCAAATTGATTTTTTTGTAGATCCCGACGAATGTTAAATTAAAAGAGATTGAAGTGTAATGAAAGCCCATTTTTTCCGTAAAACTCAGTCAGCCGGATGGGACTGAAAATGGAGAACAATTTGGCATTGGAAATGAATATAATTTTTTTTTCCTCTGAATGCGTGAAATTTTTGGTGGAAGTTCTTGCTAGAGATTCTTGTTACGTCGGAGAGAATATCTTTCTCCCAAATTCTAAAAATCGATTAAGGGGCTATGTCGATGAAGTTTAAAAGCCTTCACTGAGCCTTGGGGAAATCACGGACCCGAACGATTTTGCCCCGGATAATCAGGAAAAACTTCATTTTTTCCTGCTTTTACCTTCAAAATACGCCTTACGCCGTAGTTTTCATACGATTTTAGCTTTTTTTAATCAATTAAATTATTATTCATCTCCATAGTTAATATTGAGGAAGTAGGATCATTGGAAATGTGGAGAAAACAATAAACTACACTAGATTATTGTCAATTCGCGACGTTTGGCGTATAATTCAGGCTTCCTCAGGCTTCTTGACAATTGAGCACATAGTCATATTATTCTCTGAAATAATGTTGGGAACTCTAAACACATTATTACGTTTGTAAAACATTAAAAAATCTGGCACGCAACACTATTAACAGACTGGCATCTGTCATTTCCTCCAGTCATGAACTAACACCGGAGAATTTTGAAATTCATAAATTTTTTTTTGAGCCTGTCTTTTCGCTTCGACCTGTCGTTTATTTTATTCATAAAAATTAGATTACACATGATTACAATGTTCAATTCATTTAGTCATGATCTATTCCGATTTTGCCCCGGATAATCAGGAAAAACTTCATTTTTGACACTGCTGCTACGTTCACCTCGTGTCGAAAAGTGCCTTTTCGTTTACTCGTAAACGAAAAGTCTTTTCGTTTACTAGTAAACGAAAAAAGGCACAGTTCGCCACTCGCTGAACGTAACATCACTGTCAAAAACTATTGTTCGACACATGTGAGACAGGAATTTTCAGCTCGTGTGATTGGCAGCCCTCGGCTTCGCCTCGGGCCGCCAACTTCACACTCGTGAAAATTCTGTCTCACTCGTATCGAAATATACTATTTTTGCTGCTTTCACCTTCAAAATGCGCCTTGCGCCGTAGTTTTCATACGATTTTAGCTTTTTTTAATCAATTAAATTATTATTCATCTCCATAGTTAATATTGAGGAAGTAGGATCATTGGAAATGTGGAGAAAACAATAAACTACACTAGATTATTGCCAATTCGCGACGTTTGGTTTATAATTTAGGCTTCCTCAGGCTTCTTGACAATTGAGCACATAGTCATATTATTCTCTGAAATAATGTTGGGAACTCTAAACACATTATTACGTTTGTAAAACATTAAAAAATCTGGCACGCAACACTATTAACAGACTGGCATCTGTCATTTCCTCCAGTCATGAACTAACACCGGAGAATTTTGAAATTCATAAATTTTCTTTTGAGCCTGTCTTTTCGCTTCGACCTGTCGTTTATTTTATTCATAAAAATTAGATTACACATGATTACNCGCCGTAGTTTTCATACGATTTTAGCTTTTTTTAATCAATTAAATTATTATTCATCTCCATAGTTAATATTGAGGAAGTAGGATCATTGGAAATGTGGAGAAAACAATAAACTACACTAGATTATTGTCAATTCGCGACGTTTGGCGTATAATTCAGGCTTCCTCAGGCTTCTTGACAATTGAGCACATAGTCATATTATTCTCTGAAATAATGTTGGGAACTCTAAACACATTATTACGTTTGTAAAACATTAAAAAATCTGGCACGCAACACTATTAACAGACTGGCATCTGTCATTTCCTCCAGTCATGAACTAACACCGGGGAATTTTGAAATTCATAAATTTTCTTTTGAGCCTGTCTTTTCGCTTCGACCTGTCGTTTATTTTATTCATAAAAATTAGATTACACATGATTACAATGTTCAATTCATTTATACATGATCTATTGCGAATAAAACGGATGCTTAAAACTTTATTCTTTGGAAGGTAACGAACATTTTTCTTAAAAAATAGCTAAAATCGTATGAAAATTACAGCGCAAAGAGCATTCTGAAGGTAAAAACATGAACTTTTACGGGGTAAAATCGATCGGGTCCGCGATTCCCTAGTTTTTTCCCTAATTATCCCCATATTCCGTCATATATCACAAACTGTTTAAAGGTTCGCAAGGCCCAGTCAAGACTTAAATTTCACTGACGTATCCCCTTAATTGCCTTGAATTACTGATAATTATAAAGATATATTTCCGCGCAGAAACATTCCTTCAGTACAAGAATAGTCCTTTTCGATTGCTAATCAAGATTATCATCATTCACTCAATCATTTGCACAATCAATCAATTGGGGTTTTGCATGAAATTTGTTAGTAATTGGATAGGAAAATTGGATGAAAGATATTTGATACGTATTTCTCCATGTCAAGGGCTACACTGTTAGAAAACTACTGCAGAAATTTCTGAAACGACTGCACTTTTACAAAGTTTGTCTCAATTTTCCAGAAAAAAAACCTTGAATTCCATTTAAAGGGAAAAAGTCATTGAAATTTCAAGTTTCTCTGAAAATTGAAGTAAAGTAAATTTTTTAGCGACAGGAAGTCGAAAATTCCACAATTTACGTGAATTTTCAAGTGAAAATGAAGGTTCACTGCCAAATGACCTTGAATTTTCAGGGAATCCCTATAAATTTCTCGGATTTCCAGGAATTTTGAAGGAACTCATGAAAAATTCGGAGAAATTTGTACTTTAAAGAGAGATTTCTAAGAATTTTCCTGATGTTTCATTAATTTTTCCGGAATAATTAAACTGAAATTTACAATTCCCATGAGTTTCTCCGTGAAATTATGAATTTTCAATGACAAAATTTCTGGAAATTTCAGTCGAAGTATTACTTATTATATTAATTATTAGAAATTTTTGACAGTGTAATTCGCACGAAATTTCTTCACATGCTATTACTGACAAACCAGTTAAATCCTGAAATAATAAATGAAACTGTTAGTTTCATATTCACATAAAAATAAAAATAATGTGAATTCAGACAACTATAGCTTTGAATTTTCAACATATTCAAAATACAATTTTCACAATGAGTTTGGGAGTTCGAGAAATTCCATCAACATTTCGATCCCAAATTGAGCTAGAATTCACAGCCCAAAAAAATCGAACGCACCTATTACTTGAATTCCGAAAAATTTCTAAAAGTGTAACGAAAAATCAATAAGCTGTAGCCAATAAAGCCTTCTGCATTCTGACGTCATAATGCAGACATTTCGTCAATTGGCCACATCTCATTTTCGATGAACTTCTCAAGATGAAAAATAAATCCACTGCATTTCCCGTCCAATTTTCTACTCCATCATTTCATTTAATAAACAATTAGTCCCGATTACTTGTCCCCCTTAATGGTCCCCATACGAGTAAAAACACAAATCGAACTGCAGCCGCATAAAAAATCAAATAGAATAATCTCCGCCCGTTCTACATCATCTCGCATCCAGTGCCACGTAATTAGCTGCATGCCAGTTAGGACTCTGGAATCTAGAAACTCTGAAAAAGCCAGCACGACTCATTCCCCAACTATCACCCCATCTCTAGACTCGCCTAAACTCTCCATTAACATTCTGTTATATTTTGCTCTTCCAGTGGTAGTCAGTAGAAAAAACAACAACGAGACATAAAAAAACTAGGAATTGTTTTGAGAGAATACACCGTGTGCTACGGACATATCGATTGGTACTCGGTTAACTGTTAGTTGGCTTAAAAATAGGCCAAAGAGCACCTCTCGCGGCCTTGTGTATAAGCTCATGGCTCACACGAAAACTCATACAGATATATAAAGTACTAGGTACATTGGGGGGTGGATTTTAAATGGGTAAAACCTGAGAGAGGGAAAATAGCTGGTGGTTTGCGGATAGGAGGTCGCATGTACATAATGCACTAACGCTGCATGGGTGATAAAAAAAAAACCACTTGACTGTGTCAGGGTTACCAACCTTCTGGTATTTCACGATGGAAGGGATGATTTTCGATGCTGGGGGAAGATTGATGCTAGGGGTAAACAATGAGAAGAATAGAATCACTCGACCCTGCTTAAATGAGAAAGGAGAGATTTAACACTCGTTGGTGTTTCGGTTTGTTTCGGGAGAGGGAGTCTTTTGTAATGCCGCAGTTATGCGTTAGAAATCGGGGTGTGTGGCTTACTGGCGCGTGGTGTATTCTCTCATGACGATTGTTGATGTGAATTTGGAATGTATGATTTTTATCAAAGAAGCTGTTGATGCAAGAGTTAGGGAGGGGGGAAGTACGTTGAGTTCTTTTTTTATTTTCATCTGGGAATTCGAGGGAGGAATTGTTATAATGCATTGTTAATTGGATACTTCATGATTTTTGTGAACATCGGGGAGAGGGTCGGGTGAACCGGTGGGGGAGGAATGTCGAGAGTTAGGGTGATCCTGCACGGAGAGAACAGCAGCAGAGTTCTCAAACTAGTCTTACTTGTTTAAAAATCTAATCTATTCTATTTTTTTATCTTTTCTGAAATATACACCGTTATTAGGGGAGGGTATGGTAAAACGGACACTTTGGACTTTTTTTGAAATATTCATGACGTGTTGAATTGTTTATGAAATGGAATAATTTTATTTTTAAATTGAAAAACAATGATTCCTCTTTGTGATGAGCAGAGACTGAGCTCAATTGATAAATCTGTTTCTGAGTTATGAATATTTTTAAAAAAGTCAAAAGTGTCCATTTTACCCTACCCTCCCCTAAGTAGAAAAACCCATTAACAATAAATGAATAGTTCCATCAGTGTGAATCTCTTCATTTAGTTTCCCCTGTCCTTTTTTTTCGTTAAAATTTGTCGCTCATGAGATATCATCATTGTTACATTTGATTCGTCATTTTGAGTTGCCTCGCATGTGGAATATCGTAATGAATATAAGTAGGCTAATTTGTTACCACTTAAACCGTTAAAACTGGTGCAAGGATGATGATTTATGATGAGTACCACTTGCACGTAGTTTTGTAGTGGTCTTACGATGTTTGTTATCACGAGTGATCCCTCGTTTATGATGCGTGTTGGTGTTGGTGCAAGGGGCAGGAGATACCTATATACATATGGTACGAGTCGTATCCAACACACAGTGGCGAGGGATATGAGGGACGTGTGTCCAGGGTGAGCCCCAATTCACCTTACGGCTCCGCCAGTCTCAATCTTACGAATATACGGGAGAGTGATCAAGGATGGTACGAGTGCAAGGTCGTCTTTCTCAATCGATCACCCAACAGCCCGAAGAATGGCACGTGGTTCCACCTGGATGTTCATGGTCAGTTTTTCATGGTGCTTTCAAATTAAATTGCAATACTTTTTCGATTCAACTGAAGACATTTTTGCCGTACTGACCTTCACTTTTCCTCGTCCGGGGACTGGTGTTGGCCCTTCCCCAAACTCCACGGACGAACAAATTTAATAGAAGAATCTATCGAATTCGTTAGAAAATTCTATTGAATTTCTATTGAACTGTTCTATTAGTTTTTGGCCGATTCTATTGAAATGTTCAATAGAAAATATTCAGAAAAAGTCAATAGAATTCAATTTTACTATATAACTTATTCTATTGAGATATTTTCTGTGGAATTTCCGCGGCTCAAATTTCCCGTTTTTTCGTTTGATTTTCTTGATGAGAAGAAAAAAATAGAATGAAAAAAACTTAGAAAATTTGAGTCGAGCAAATTCTATAGAAAATATATGAAAAGAATAAGTTATATAGTAAAATTGAATTCTATTGACTTTTTCTGAATATTTTCTATTGAACATTTCAATAGAATCGGCCAAAAACTAATAGAACAGTTCAATAGAAATTCAATAGAATTTTCTAACGAATTCGATAGGTTTTTCAATTAAATTTTTTCGTGCCTGTCGTAAAAGTGAAAATCATTACGCTGAGAAGAAAAATTATTTTTGCCAAGTATCCATTTACTTGAGAGAAGTATTTATTTTTTCAATACTGTAGTTCTCCAGTCGGGTCATCCCCAGGCGAGTCTTGTATGGTTTCAATTATGACAATCGTGTTGCTCTAGAGGATGATTATGTTGTACATGACCTTGGATAAACTCAAGGACTAAGGATTATTCATTTTTACTAAATTTCTTATTTTCTAGAGGGAAGAATTCCGATTAATTTTTTAATGCTGATAATTATTGAGAAAGTTCACTCAAGATTATAACTAACATGATCATTGTCTAAAGCAATATAATTGTCATAATTGAAACCTAATGGGGATTGCTTGGGTTTCAACTGACTCAACTGGAGAAATACAGTATCGGAAAAATAAATACTTCTCTCAAGTAAATAGATATTTGGCAAAAATATTTTTTTTTCTCAGTGTGCAGAAAAATATTGTTCACGACTAGTGCCATGGGTTTTTTTTACTCGCGTGGTTTGCCAGTCCTCGTCTTCGGCTCGGACGCCAACTCCACGCGAGTAAAAAACCTCATGGCACTCGTCCTGAAATATACTATCATCACACTGAGAGAGAAAATTAGTTTTCTCTGCTGAAAAACTATATGTTCTACGTGAGAATATTTGATGGAGTGGAACAGATTTACTTGAGGGAAATTAACCAACTTGAGAGAATATCTTAATCTCAAATTCCGAATTTATTTATTAATCAATAATTGAGTTTGGAAGTTTAACGATTATATAGTTAATCGAAAAATTCTTCTATGAAATTTAAAATTATTTACTCAATAGTTAATGGACACTTCTGTATTGCAAATTACGTAATTCATAGTTAATTCAAAATTTCAATTATCAATTATTTCATTATTTTTAAAATTTTAATGAAGTTAAGTAAACCTTAATTATTGTAAAGGGCAATTTATTATAATTTTACAGAAATATTACAAGAATAATGAATAAATCAGGCTGAATGCCTTCGGGCGATGGCCAGTCGCAAACCCCTTGCGGAAAATCACGTTAAAAATTAATAAATAAAAAATAATGAATGAATATTACAAAAATAATGATTGATTTTTTTTCAGGAATCCGTAGAGACTAACTTTTGGATGATTTTGTCTTGGGATTGGGACCTTAAATCAGATTTCCTTTAGAATCCTTTGAAAAAAAAGGTGGAGAAGCGGGTGAACGATGTTTAACACATAAAAGTGCAAACATCATCAGTTTAATTATTCCATCATATTTCAATCCTATCACAACATGGCGTTTCGTGATATTACGCAAAATACCCGCCACCTCATCATTAAATTTTCCTGTCAAAAATTGAATTTTTACTTTTAGTTAGATGAGATGCGATACAAAGAGGTATTTTGTATTCACAAACTTTAATGATTAATTTCCCCCTGAAAGACGCATAAAGGGGAAAATTTATGAGACTTCATAAAGTTTTTTTCCTTCACTTATGACGAGCTTAATTTCAAAATTACTGTAGAGAAAAATAAATCGAAGTTCTGGAGTTTTCGCTCAGTGAAAAACCCTCGATCAACTTTGAAATTACATCCCAATTTTTTTCATTCAATCGACGAACTGAACCTCAGTTATTTTTCGTCTTCGTTTTCTTTTGAAAGTCTTACAAAATTATGAAACTAATTCTACGATTGCGCACAGCAAGAAGTTATTGAAGGTTCGATTTTTATTTAGTTGAAAAGTTAGTCCCCAGAGACTATTTTAGAGTCTCACTTTCCTCCATTGAACTTTGCAGTTTAACTTCACGTCATTTTTTTCCATAAATCGTTGCAGGTTTTAATATGCAAACGAATTGTTAACTTCATATTCGTTTTATCACAATATTTTCATCACGCTGTGACGAAAAGTGAACTTTTCGGCACGCTCCGCGTGCCTAAAAGTCCAATTTCCGCCACATTGTGATGAAAAATATTGTTCGTAACTCGTGAAAAAATGTTTCAAAACAAAACAAAACAAAAAAGGCCCAGTTTGGTCACTCGCTGAACGTAATATCACTGTCAAAAAATCCTGCTCGACACATGTGAGATGGGAATTTTCAGTTGATGTGATTGGCAGCCTTCGGCTTCACCTCGGGCCGCCAACTTCACAGCCGTGAAAATTGCGTTTCACTCGTATCGAAAGATACTATTTTGAAACTATTTGATTTAGAAAAAATATGTTCGAAGACTTTTCTATTTCGACGGAAAATTCGATATTATTCAATCAATTTTATCTTCAAACGACTCTGAAATCTCCAGAACTTTAATATTAATTCAGTAGGGAAGTGGTAAAAGGGTACAAGTCAATTTTGACTATTGGCCAGTTTTCAATGAATATCTAAAAATCTAAGGAAGATATTAAAATTTTCGTTATAACCTTTTTTGTGGAGCCGATTGAGAGCTACAACAAATGTAATTACGAAAATTTCATTATCTCTGTTAGATTCCGAAATATTCTTCAAAAACTCAACTGGAAGATGAGTCCACTTAAACCGTTTTACCACTTCGCCACTGAATTTTTCTCCTGACAGTTCCGAAATTCGTGAATTTATCGCAAAGTGTCAAGACTTTTTTCATCGCTCGCAAAAATCTCCCACAAATGCTCCCAAAATTTCAAATTTTAATTAAAAGTCCTAAAACCTCCCAATACTCTCAATCAGCAAACTTTGACTGTTGCATCAACTGGAGTTTGAAATTTAAATTTAATATTATTTAACTTCTCCATCGACCGACTCGGAAATTTCTTGAAATTTAATTCTAATTACTCCCCCAACATTTCTAAAACTCATAAGTTTATCGCAGAATGTCAGAAGACATTTTCTTCCGAACAAAACAATGACCAAATTTCAAATTCCAATTAAAACTCATAAAACTTCCTAATACCCTCCCCGAACTTTTACTGCACCCCCCAAATGAAATTTGAAATGAAAATTTAATATTATTAGAAACTTGACTGCAATGTTCCGGTGCAGTTGTCGTTGAATTTCAATGCCCCGAGAATGAAATGTAGATTTTGCAGTGTGAAATTTCAGCGTGTGAATTTACCATTTCAGCTCCACCGAGATTCACTATGACCCCAGAGGAGATGATCTACGTGAATCTGGGTGATGCTATCATTCTGAATTGTCAGGCTGAGGGCACACCCACACCTGAAATAGTATGGTACAAAGATGCCAATCCCGTAGCAACATCCAATACTATCGGTATATTCAACGAGGGTACTGAACTCAGAATCTCGTCAATCAAGACCGACGACATTGGTGACTACACATGCATAGCGAGGAATGGAGAGGGTCAAATCAGCCATACGACGAGAGTTGTTATTGCCGGTGAGATGCACTACAATGTTACTCGCATTTCCTGTATTTACACTTGAATATAAACACAAGAAGGCTATAATACCGGTATTGAAGGGGGGAAATGTGGCGAATAGATTCTTTTACGTGTCACTAAATGTAAACGTCTGCATGAAAAGGATCCGCTCTGTCGATTCTAACTTCCGAGATATTCACGTTTGGCTTCCGAATGGAAGCCTTCTTTTTGACCGATTTTTCGATTTTATATTATTTATTATTTATTTTGATTGCAAATGGTTTAGAATGTTATGAAAGGTGAGCAAATGATGTTTTTAGGGTCATGTTTATATGTATGTATCCGACAACTTGAGTTTTTGGTGATTAATTTTTAGAAAATTCAACATAATACCGGTGAAATTTGCAGATAACAATTTGAAATTCTGGTTCATTGTAGCTATTATTGAGTTCAACTTTGGCGCGCTGTTTCAGCCCGATCGGTCCAGTAGCTCCTGAGATATAACAATTTGTTTTAATTTCGTTTTTCCTTAGTATTTCAAAAACTACTCCACCGATTTCAAATTTTTTTTCTTCTAAATACTCATCTCGATGGCCTCTATGCAGACCAATCAGAATATATAGACTCTTTAGTACACAGTTTGGAGATATTGCCGTTTTTCCATTTATCATGAAAAATCTTGTACGCACGATCACTTGAGAAAGAAAGGAGATAGCAAGTTGAAATTTGGTATGGTTCTAGCTCTTATAATACTAAAGGTTGGTATTTTAGATCAGCGCAATCGGCCGAGCGGTTCCTGAGATATGCAACCTTTTGCGTAAATATATTTCTTCAAATATCTCATGAACTACCTGGCGGATTTCAATTTTTTTTCAAAGTACTCGCCTTGGCAGTCACTATCTGGATCCGTTTCTGAAAAGTTTCTGAGACATTCCCGTTTTTTCGCTTTAAAAATAGTTTCATTCTTGTACGCACGATAACTTGAGAAAAAATGGGGGTAACAAGTTGAAATTTGGTATAATTATAGCTCTTACAATTCTGAAGGTTGGTATTTTGGACAGGATTTAACCTTTTGTATAAATCTTATTCATTAAAAGGTTGAATATTTTCTTATAGACACCCAGTAGCATGTGGTTACGGTTGTATGCCTGTCACAAGGATAGGGACTCGCTACGGATCCATTCGGAAGCATCGATTTCACCAATGGAATTGGTAGAAATAAAAAAAAGAAAGAGACTAATGACGCAAAAAGTAACGGCCACGTGCCTTCTGTCGATAGAAAAAACGGCAATATCTCGAACATTTCGTGTGAATGGGTATAAATATTTTGATCGATCTAGATAGAAGCCGTCGAGATGAGTATTTTGAAACAAGAAAAAAACCAGATCCGTTGAGTAGTTTGTCAGATATTCAATAAAATAAATTTACACAAAAGATTGCATATCTCAGGAACCGCTTGGCCGATTGCGCCCATTCAAAATACCAGCCTTTACTATTATAAAAACTACAACCATACTAAATTCCAACTTACTATCTCCTTTTCTTCTCAAGTTATCGTGCGTACAACATTTATCATGAAAAACGGAAAAATGGCAATGTCTCCAAACTGTGTGTTAAAGAGTCTATATATTCTGATTGACTTAGAGGCCATCAAGACGAGTATTTAAAAAAAAAAATGAGTAGTTTTTTAGATATTGAGGCAAAACGAAATTTAAACAAGTTGTTATATCTCAGGAACTACTGGACCGATCGGGCTGAAACAGCGCGCCAAAATTGAGCTCAATCATAGCTACAATGAGCCAAAATGTCAGATTTTTATCTACAATTTTCACCGTATTTATGTTGAATTTTGTAAACATTAATCACCAAAAACTCAAGTTGTCACATACATACAGACATGACCCTGAAAGCATCATTTCTCCACGTTTCATAACATTCTAAAGCATTTGCAATCAAAATTAGAAAATCGAAAAATCACTCAAAACCAAGGCTTCCACCCGGAAGCAAAAAAGAGAACCCATGCGGAAGCAAATCACTATTTTATTAGCAACAATAACTATACTCATTTACAAAAAAATGCAATTGTCCACCTTTTTTCTCTCACTTTGTTTCAAAAAGGTGGAGCAGTCATCATGGTTGCACCGACCAATCAGACTAAACTCGAGGGTGAAAAGGTACAATTTCCCTGTGAAGCCAAAGCATTACCCGGCAATGTGACGGTACGGTGGTTTCGCGAGGGTGCGCCAGTGACCGAGGTCTCTGAACTCGACACTAGAGTGTCCATCCGGAAAGATGGTAGCCTGGTAATTAATCCAGTGAGTGCAGACGACACTGGTCAATACCTGTGCGAGGTCACTAATGGTATTGGTGAGCCCCAGAGTGCAAGCGCCTATCTCAACGTCGAGTGTAAATATTTTCATTCATTTTTATTCCACTTAGCCGCTGAATTACTGAATTGGAAAATAGAATTTTCCCGCTGTTGAAGTTTCCCGCTGTTTTTTTCCATCGCCCAATTTTTTGTACTGGCTTTAATTTCCCGACCTTTTTGACATCACAATTTGCATGGAAAATTTCGAAACGAACGAGCCGTGTCATTATTACAGCTGATTTTTATTCCAAATGCAAATGGAGAGTTTTTCAGGTGATTTCATTTTCCAATCAATTTTGCTTTCCCGGAAAGGCTCATCAGGAAAACATTTCGGTGAATTCACAAGTCGTTTTTCATCTCTCAATCAATCTTAATTATTTAACTAGATTAACGGGGCGCCTTTTTTCAACAGAATGCAATAGAAAGTGTAATCGGCGATTACTCGACATCCGCGCAGTGAAATTGAATTTTTCTTTTCATTTTGAAGGCATTCGGATAAAATTCAAGTACAGCTTGATGAGGCCTGATTCATTCAAGGCGTACCATTCGTTTGACAGATATAAAGGGCTTGAAAAGGCCTATTTTACTTATTCATCTATTTGGTACAAAATAGCAAGAAATTTTTCTTGCAGCTGTAAAAATCCTTGACAACGAATGAAATTAATCCATAATTCAGGAGCAAAGCGGTAAAACGGTTCAAGTCGATTCGTCTAATGCAATCCTGATTTTGAATGAAATTATCACCATTTTAAATAAACTATCTTATGCCCCCAAAACGGTCTTATTTCTTTTGTGCATGCACATTCCCCAAGAATGCCAATAACCCGCAATGACTGAAATGAAAAAAACTTGTGCTTTCCCCAGACCCAGCAAAAGTGACATTCACCCCAACAGTCCAATACCTCCCATTTCGCCTAGCCGGTGTAGTTCAATGCTACATAAAAGCAAATCCCCCCCTTCAATACGTAACCTGGACCAAGGACAAGCGTCTCCTCGAGCCTTATCAAACCAAGGACATCGTGATAATGAACAATGGCTCCCTGCTGTTTACCCGTGTAAACGAGAATCACCAGGGAAAATACACATGTACACCGTACAATGCCCACGGTACTCAGGGTGGTTCAGGACCAATGGACGTACTTGTACGAAATCCACCGATATTTACAATTGAGCCAGAGCCAATGTATCAACGAAAAGTGGGTGAAACTGTGGAAATGGCGTGTGACGCACAGGAAGCCGAAGGCACACAGAAGCCGGGAATTCAGTGGCAAAGAAGAAATGGCGCACCATTAGAGCGCAATCGTGGAAAAATCATCGGTGGAAATCTTACAATTGACAGCCTTAAACGAACAGACTTTGGTTATTATCAGTGTGTTGCTTCAAATGAGGTAGCAACTATTGTATCAGCAACTCAATTGATTGTTGAAGGCTCACAACCGCATGCGCCTTACAATGTTACTGGTTCAGCAACACAAACTGCTGTTACCCTACATTGGTTTCCGGGCTATTCTGGTGGTCCAGATTACAAACAAGATTATACAATTTGGTACAGGAGGGCTGGGGTTACCGAATGGACAACGATACCCGTTACACCGTCTGGGAGAACATCGGTTACCATCAATAATCTTGCATCGGGAACTTTGTATGAATTTCAGGTTGGTGGATTTATTTATCCGGTGGACATCGAGGGGATGGTTTAGTTGAATTTAAGAAACTTTAGGTTAATCAAGTAAGGGCCGGTTGCACCGGGCCTTGTTGGCCAAATAAATCGACAGATTAGGTGTCACCCCTACTTATCGCGGGTACAGGTGATTACGGGACAAATGATCACAAATTTGATCACATGGACAAATCACCACAAATTTCTCTATCACAAGCTGTTTTGATCACGGGACAATAACAGAGAATAATATAGTGGTTATACAATGGATCCTTCCATGGGATCAAGTGTTTCAATTGACTACACCTCCTATTACAATTATACACTGATAGAACGGATTAGTTATTGTTAACGAATGGATTTTGGTTGGAGGTTAGGGTCTATTCGGTCCCACTAAATGTTCATTCGTTGATAGTTAACGAATGTACATTTGAGGAGCCTTGTTTGACTTTCGCCATTCAAGTGAACCACTCGTTAACTATTAACGAATATTCATTTGGTCATATTCAACTCTACCATTCGTTAATAGTAAACGAATCTCGTTTGGAATAAATGAATCATTCTATCAGTGTAGTCTCAGGACTATACATAGCGCAACTCTGGTGATTATTTTTCTCGTGATCAATTGTCCTGTGATCATTTGCCCTCCGATCAATTGTCGTGATCAGTTATCCTGTTGCTTGGTGCAACCGGCCCTAAATTGTTTTTTTGAATGAATAGATGAATGAATAAACGATTTATTCAGGTCTTTACGTTTTGTTCCCCACCCCATATGATAATTATGAAATTTTTAAAAATACACAATACATTATCAAAGCAAGAAAAATATAATAGAATGATTTATTTATTTTGTACAGTTAAAAAGTTTCACAAAAATAATTTCTAGTGTAAATTTTTCAAATACAAGAAGAGGGCGCGCGCTTCGCGCGCTATTGTTTTCCATGGGTGTCAGAATAATGAAATCTTACCCTCACTTACATTATTTTTTGTCGCAATAATAATGCAGGAAAAATGAATGGTTTCAACAAAGTTTTTCACAGTGGGAATTCAATTGTGGAATAATTTATTCGGAATCGTCATAATCCTCTTCATCTTCTTCGTTTCTCTTTTGCTTTTTACGGTGTTTTTTATTTTTAGCAATCTATTATGTACTATATCCATGTATACCACCCCATATATTTTTTTTACGGAACTACATATTTTTTTTATTAAAAAAAATGAAATGAATTTATCTTCACTTACAATTACTGTAAACAAAAGATTACAGTACATAAAAAAATATGCATAGACATATATTACATTACTTGATAAGCGGATTCGAGACTTCGAAAATCGTCACACTGGATTTTTGAATTAAAATATTATTAGTTCATGTGTCATGGCTGATAGCTTCGAGTTATCAACTAGTTGTGAATATTTTGCACAGAGACTTCACTAGCGTTTCTTTGTCGCCATTCATTATCAATAGCGATATTCAGCAATAGATTTTTTTTTAATATATCAATTGGTAATAATCTCGCACTGGAGATTCTGCATGAATTTCAAGTGGGTGAATTTATTTATCGAGTACCCATCCATAGAAGTGGTTTATTTGAATTCAATAAACTATATATGAAGCAAATAAATCATTCGTTCATTCAACCAAACGATTTATTTGGTATATATTCCATATTCCAACAAACGAAAATTTTCAATTCAGAACTTTTTAATACTTTTATTATGCCATATTCGATGGCTTCGAAATACCGATTACTTATGAATACCGCAAATAAGGAATTCAACACTTAATTTAGCAACTAACAATGTTTTTTTTTAATTATGACAATTAGAAATTGTTTAGTTGTCGAATTTTTTCACCGAGGAATTACGAGAATGTTGTCATAAACCCCTCCCTTTCAAATATCTAAGGAAATCAATCGGTCAATCAGTTTCAATTGAAATAATTAATCAATCAATTAATCGAGTATTGATTCTCCTCCAGGTTGTTGGAAAAAATGCCATTAGCGGTGGCATGTTGAGCGCTGTGACGACAATTAGAACTCTCGAGGCTGGCATCAATCCCCCCAATACGACACCAGCTACAGGAGGCATTGCATCGGAGAACACGGGCCCCAAGCCAGGACCACCGAGAAATCTCACGGTGACTGAGATCAGTAATGGGTTTTTGATTACCTGGCAGCATCCACTGGAGAGACCGCATCTTGTGCAGTACTACGATATTATTTATAAAACTGATGGGCCTTGGAAACCACTCAACAAGGGACAGATTCGGCCTGAGGAGACCAGTTATCTGGGTGAGAAGTCATTTTTTATAAAAAAAGAAAACTTCTTCAGACATCAGACAAATAAAAAAAATCAAAATTAATATCTGTTTTGAATTTTTACTCAATCATCAACAGAAGGATATTGCAACAGTTTTAGTTGCGGTTCATTGAAAGCTCTGATGAATATTTTATGTTTGTAGTGTAATTATTGTTAATTGATCATAATAATTTAATAATTTTATTGAGAATAACAGAGACTCCAAAAAACTAGAACTGGTCTAGAAAACCAGTCTCTGATCTTTTCATTGTGAATTTCATGTTTTAAATGTTTTGTTAATTCTGAGTTTACTTTGGTAGGTAATGACGTTTAGAAAAATCTCAATAGACTTTTTTTTAATTTAATGAGCTACAAAAAATGTTTGATATTTTTTCCTGCATTCATCATCGAAATCTTGATGTAATTAAAAAAAATGGCGCATTGAACTTGAATTATTCTACAATGACACTAATTAATCAATCAATCTTAACAGGGAACTTGCATGAAGCTCAGTTTTTCCGAATTCTCCTATTAAAACATTCTTCATAATCTTCTAGTAGCCAAACGATAAAAAATTTCGCGAAATATTGTCTAGACGTTTTACAGTAATTAATTCAAAGAGCGATATTTTTCAACGCTAATTTATCGTTAATGACGTCACAATGTAGCACAAGTAATGCTGGGTAGCACTCCGTTGGTCGAATGTGAGGAGAGAGGGGAGTTGCCGTCATCCATTGGCTAAGGCGCATGTGTAGATTAGGTTAGGCTGGCTCGAGCCAAGCCTGTGATTAGCGCAACGCTCAACCCACCTTGTGACGTCATTAAGCATTCCAGAGCGTTGGAAAACCTTGAACTTTTGATAATTAATTATTCTTGAAGGAGCAACTTTTTAAACTTTTGTGCATGCAAAATCATTCATTTACGCCCTCAACTTAAGGATATCCAAATATCTTTTACAGTTTAGTACAGACGACACAATATATTGAGAGAAAAATGAGCAAGTTCTCAAACAATTCTTGTTGGGGCCATCAAAATCGTCAGCCGAAAATTACCGAACAAATATTATTTATTGTCCACGTACATACCCTCTCGGGTTTTTACATTTTGTTCCCCTCCCCGTAGCCCTTAGTAACATATTATATGATATAATACTAGTAAATTAACAATAGTCAATTGAGGATAGCCCATCGTACATCAGTATCACAGTAATTTCCTTAATGACTCATGACTACCATCTAGATCTCTTAAACGTAGGATACAAGAAATACCGAACAAATCATTGTTTGGTTCGAATTTGAGGTTCCCGGAATTAATTTCCCCAGCAAAAATTTCCCCGGAAAACAATTTCCTCGAATAAAATTCCCTCACAAAATACCTCAAATACTAATCAAAGATTTATTTTTCAATTCATCACCAACTGTCAATTTAGAACAACACAAAATTAGCTATATCCTTCAAGAATTTATCACATTCATCAGCATCATAATTGTCAACAATTCTTTTCAAACGCTCATCATAAAACACAAAAAAATGGAAATTTTTTTTTTGTGGAAAAATTTTTTTTTTCCACAAAACGGGAAAAAATGTCAAGGAAAAAAGTTTAAAATTTTTGTTCGGGGACATCTTTGTTGGGGGAAACATTTTCCGGGAAATTTTTGTTCGAGAAATTTTTTTCCGGGGAAATTTTTTCAGAGGTATTTTTTTCGGGGAAAAAAACTCCGGTCGTCGAATTTGAAAGTCTGAAATATGAAAAAATAGCATTAATAAGTACGTGGATATCCTTAAGGGTAAAGAAATATTTGAAAAATCATGCAAGTTCATGGAATTATGAAAAAGTGCATGAAATCAAACTGATTTTTATTAATTCATCATTTTAATTGGATCGAAAATGGGTCAATACTCAAAACATAATTTCTTCCGTGATGAAAAAAAACTCTCGCAATGGGAAAATATTCGACTTCCATCTCCATCAAAAATCGACTAGAATAAGTGCTTTTCAATTCTGAATAGAAATCCCTGAATATTCTCGATTCGATGAATTCCCTCCCCATGATTAATTAAAGGGTTCAAGAGGATTATCGCTAACTAATTGAATTTCTTTTTCTCTCATTCGGCAGTGAAAAATTTAGTCGGCGGAAGGACGTATTACTTCAAAGTACGCGCTCACTCGGCAACGAATTATGGAGAGGGCGACATGACGAAGTTTCCAGTACCGGCGCGAGTTAAACACAAAGCTATCACTGCCGGTGTCGTAGGTGGAATATTGTTCTTCATCGTCGCTATTATCCTCAGCATATGTGCAGTGAAAATATGCAACAAACGAAAGAGACGAAAACAGGAGAAAGGTAGGAAGAACTGAGTTAAAGAACGAGTAACTGCGAGAGAAAAATTATGATTTATGGGTCAAAGGGCAGAGGTGATCTTTTCTTATTGATTATCTGGCCTATTTCCAGAAGATGTACGATGAAATATTTAAGGAGTATCAATTCACGAAAAACACTGGCAATTGTGGAAATCTCAAAGTTCATGAAATATGATTATTTTTAACTTTGAAACAATAGATCGTGATTTTTCACTCAAACATCGAAATTGTTTACGGGGGGTGTACGAAAGAAAAAACCACTAATTATGAAGTATTTACTCGATAGTCACGACCGAATGGCTGAACGAACGCAGTCTACGACGAATTCCTAAAATTGTCCAACAGTAGAATAAATTTACTCCAGACATAAACTTATTCTCACGATTTCTTTCACTAACAGGGGACGGTACAATCGACCCTCATTCTATTCTCATTAGAAATTGGCTAAAGAAAAAATATAATAATCACAAGCACTTTCCATTGGATTTTGCCACACACCTCCTGACATTTTCCCCTGAAACTAGGGATGGGCGATGTTTTAAAAAACATCAATGTTGTAAATCGATTTTTCTGGAACAAACATCGATTATTTAAAAAATCGATGTTTTTTCTCATTACACAAGAAAAAACATTTTTGTTTTAAATAATTTTTTTCTTCTCATTTTTTTAAAAAATATATATTTAAAAAATAGATACAACCCGAGGAACTTACGTTTCAATGATAAGTACTGCTGGAAAGTTGAATTTTGAATCTCGAAACAGGGTTTTTGATTAATTGATGAAAATATATTAAATATTTTCCGTTAGCTACAATAATTGTTGAAAATTTAAATATAAAAAAATTGAAAAATTTCAATTTAAAAAAATGATAACCGACTGAACTTGTTCACTCATCATTTATAACATACATAATGTAGAAAATAATTACTTCTGATTGCGGATAAATCATTATTTTGTTTATTCTCAATCAATTAAAAATTGAATTGCATATGATGTCGGAGTTTCACGATGAGTTTGGAAATTCAAGCTTTCATTGAAAAATCAATGATTGCTTAACATGAAAAACCCAATTTTCTTGAATTTTCAAGATTAATGAGAAATTTAGTGAACACTTTCATTTGAAATTGAATTCAACCTCACAACATCGAAAATTCAGATGACGCTGTGGCTTAAATTTCAAGAAATTTCTAACAGTGCATTTGAAAAAACTTGTAACCAGTGCCTGCAACAGAGAGATTGTAACGAATATTTTTTCTCCTAACATTATAGAACTACTTTCAGCGTATAACATGGTAGCCTGCAGGGTCACCGACGCCCGCAACGGGGCTGGACAGGGGCCGCAGGGAACAGTGCCTTTGAAAAAGTAAGTATCCACTTCCACATCTCCCCATAACAATTCTAATCTACCGTTAAAATATCACAAATAAAATAAAAGAATTGCGAAGAATACAGTTTGAGATACGAAGCCCCGTCTGGGCATCGTAATCATTTATCAAAGGAAATTGCATTTGCGGCGAGTGAGATTAAAAAAAGTGAATAAAAATGACGAAAGAGAAATGGAGGAAATATTAAAAATGTCCGCACTGCAGATGCAATTCTGATAATACATATGACCTGAGCTTAGTCAGAATTTTAGTAATTAAGCCCCCGAGCAATAGGCCACCGAAGCACCACAGTAATAACGAAACCTCTCACGATCAAACTAGAATTCAATCAATTATGTGCGATGTATGAGTACTTAATTTAAATTTATGTACGCGCATCCACATAAACGACAGACGTTGAAGATTAAAAAATCATAGAAATTTCATTCAGGATTTAAAGGATTGGAAAGATTGAAATTTCGGGGACAGTTGACTGTTAAATTTCAAGAGAGAGGGATATTGAATTCGATTTAGGGGGAAAGCCGTCGTGGAATTTCAGGTTTCATTGAATATTCAACGCAATTCTAAATTTTTTAGCAGCAGAAAGTGGAGAATTCCTTAATTTACCTACATTTTCAATCAAAACATGAATATTTAGTGACAAATAACCGAACTCTTAATCAATTGGAAATTCAGGAATGTATTTGAGCTGGTGAAAAAAGAGTGGAATTTCATGGACAGTTGACTAGTCATTTTTAGGGGAGTGATATTGAATTTAATTTGGGGAAAAATCGGGAATTTCAGATTTCATTAGAAATTTGATGGAATTCCAAATTTTTGAGCAACAAAAAGTCGAGAATTCCTCAACTTACTTGCGTTTTCAATCAAAAGTAACTCTAATAATTAATTGAAAATTCAAGAATATCTTTACCTGTTTTTCGGATTTCTACGAATTTTCATTGTGTAATTGAACTGAAATTCACTATTTCCATTGATTTTTCCATAAAATTTTGATTTATTAATGGTAAAATTCCATGAAATTTCAGTAGAACTATAAATGATGAAAATTTTCAATGAGTACGCCGAAACTTTCAGCTAAAAATTTACAAATTTCACTGAGAATTTAATGAAACTGAAAATTTTTGAGAGGCAGGAAGACGAGAATTCCTCAATTTACTTCAATTTTCTATGCACGCACAGATATTGAAGGCTGAATTGTGCTAAATTTTTAATTAATTGAAACTGCAAGAATACAAATTCTTGATTTGGAAAAGGATTTTTCCTTAACGAAGGCTGATTCTATTCAATAAAGTACGCATGAAAATTCAAAACTAAAAATGTTTCTCGACATTTTTTCCCCTGAAGTCAACTAATTTCCGATATTTGTACAAAATAATCGGTATTTAATTAATTCCATATGAAATAAAGGCCTATTAATACATGATTTAAATAATTACTGAGAATTAAATTTTGCTTCTCTAATTTTTTACGATAATTGTTTTAAATAAAATGAAAATTTCAGGCATTTTCCGGATTTTTTGTTCGTTAAATTTCAATACTCCTAGAAGTCAGAGATTTTTACTATAAACTAGAAAATTTTTTCTTAAGTTGATGTGAGAAAGGATTTCTCTTCACCGAAGGGTCATGTTTATCGACATTTTTTCTCCTAAATCACCCAATGTCAGATATCTCTGTAAAATAATCGTCATTAAATCAATTCTCCATAAAATACCTAGAAAAAAAAACAAATTGATTTTTTCATCTTCACATCTGCGGAACAGTGAGCCTTAGATACTTAGAGATTGACAGGTTTGACCGAAGCAGCAGAGGTATTTTGGACGAGGTTGGAGTGCGATGTAGTGCATTTTAAAAAATCATTCTTGATTGAGACAAAATCAATTTTTTTTTTCAAACAAAACAAACAAACCACCGATTAACAAAACTTCAACTTATTTCATGGAGAGCGGGCGAAATCGATCACATGCACTGATTCTATTTTCTCACGTTCCTCGATTGCACGCAGAACGAATCCTTCGAATTGTTTAAATACTATTTTAATACACCACAGCACAGCAATTAGAGGTTCTATTTTTTTTCTCATCGACCAAATAAAACAACAAAATTAACGTGTTAACATAAATTTGGCACTGCGAACATAAAATGCAAATTATTATTTGTAAAATGGCATCCAAAAGTCCACAATACGACTGCAGTGATGCCTATTCTGGATTATTATCAATTGTAATTTTATCAACAGTTCTTTCACATTGCTTTTTCTTTTTTTGTTTCATTCATTTATCACTTACATCATTGAGAATAGTCATGGAGAGGAGCACTTATTTCATTAGTTAATTATTTACTTTAAACATGTATATTTTTATTTCATTCTCCGCTGATGAAATCGATGGAAATGGAGTATTTCATTTATCATAACGCAAATTGGTAATTATAAAAAATATCTTAAGTGTGCCTACATAATATCCAGAACGGGCTGGACGGTCTCTGAAAATCGCTAGGATCTTGAGGTGACGGTGCCATTCAGTGCTGATGATTTTCAACAATAAATACAACATTTCATCTAACCACTTGATAATAACTCAGTAGCGAAGTGGTAAACCGTTACAAGTGAATTTTGACTAGTGACCGGTTTTCAATGAATATCTCGGAATCTAAGGGAGATAACAAAATTTTTGCTATAACCTTTTTTGTAGAGCCGATTGAAAACTACAACAAATGTGATTACGAAAATTTCGCTATCTCCCTTAGAGTCCGAAATATTCCTCAAAAACTGAACTGGGAGAGAAGCCGATTTAAACCGTTTTACCACTCCACTACTGACATATTCTGATTCATTTCAAATCAATTCTCATCACGAAAAAAAAATTAAAAAAATAATTCTTCAATTGCTACAGTAATCCACAAGTGACTCAACATTTCAACCTAATTTTCAACTACTTTCGAGTGATAAAAAGGTTTTATTTCGATCAAATTTAACCCTAGTTTGGTCACCATGCGAGGGAAACGCCGCAGCGCTTCGTTTTTTTCTTCTTGCCATCTATTGCTTGCCCGGAAAAATTTGAATGCGTCAATTGAAGTATCTCGAAAAATTCAGTATTAAAAAAAAATATTACATCCCAAATTCTGGGAGAAAAAAATTAATTTCTAACAGTTGAACGATTTTTTCCCGTGTTCAATGAAATTGTCCGTTGCACGGCGTTGTCGGAGACTCGCCCAACGCACCCGGGCAGTGTAGAGTGAATTCGGCAACGCTGGCGCCTAAATAACACGGAGACGAATTCCCGCAGAGGTGACCAAGTCGCAAGCTCGCGTCAGGGGACCAACTAGGGTTAAAGTAGCTCTACCCTTACGGTAAATTCAAATATTCAGATGAACTATCGTTCAATATGAACTAACAAAGACTCATTTTAATTATCGTTTTGGTTTTTCAAAGAAGAAATGTTTAAAAATCAGGATTTAACCCAGTGTTCTTACGTAAAAATCCACATTTGCATTGTGATCAAAAATTAAAATGTGTATTTTTTTTTCATTAGTTGCGAAAAAATCAAGAAATTTTTTGACATCTCATAAAAAATGATCCACCGGTTTGCAAACAAGTTCTATTATTTATTTATAAATCATTCTTTAGTAGTTGGCCTCTGCGGTCATTAGCTGATTCGAATTGGCAAAATTATTAATCCCCAAATGAATAATAATAATAATTTCGCCAATTCGAATCAGCTAATGACCGCAGAGGCCAATTACTAAAGAATAATTTTAAAAATTCGGTCGAATCCTCCACAACATTATTTATTTATAAGAAAGAAATGTTAAAAAAAATATCAATATTTTGCGAAATTTAATTTAGATAATACTGACTGGGTATGAATTTTTCCCATGCAATTTATTTCAAAAATTCAAAAACTGAAAACATCGAAAATTGCAGCGTCGCCCGGCCGAAGGGTAGAGCTACTTTAATCAGTCGTCATTTTCCCAATGCCGAAATTACCTGAAACCCGAATTACAGATCCACTGCACAAAGACATGAAAAACTAATTGTTAAAAATCCAGCAATTAAATTAGCAACCGTCCCCTCACCCAAAACTGACAGTGAGAGGAACTGGGGTAATCGCTTTGGTGAGACAGTGAATCTTCTTCTCCCACCCGGCAAAAAAGACTCACTGCCCTCAATGAACCTAATGCAATGGAAAAACTCCATGAAAGAAACCAAAAAAAAAACACCACGTGGTGTCTCCATGTCCTCTGTATGTTCTGTAGGTCGACAAACTTAAACGCGTGCGGCGAGTCAGTGTCGACGCTGACCCGTTGCAGCCCGTTGAATCCGCAACCACAATCTCTTCATCAACCACTTCCTACGCAAGTTATCCCCGCCACTGCCACCTCGGAGCAGGTCTACGAGGCCCCCTTGAATCGTGATCGTGACCATCATGCACTCCATCTCGATAATCGAGATAACGAGAGCGTGTTTATCATAGAGAGGCGGAACAGTAAGCCTAACATCCGCTAGCCACAACTACGTACCCAGAAAAGTCCCAGATCGACAATGAGCGTACGATCGTTATGAACGAATAAGAAATGCCAAAAAATATATCTAAATAAAATAGCGAAAGAACTAGCGGTGGGAATACTCAAAGAGATCATTTCAAAATACATTTCAAATCCATTATCACCCACTCTAAAGTGCTACTGTTGTTACCATTAATTACCGCTAATTACGACCGCCACCGTTGCTATCACGACAGTTTCACCTGATAGAAAAACCAAAAAAAAAATGATACAATAATTAAGAGACAACGTACATGGCTCTGCAAATGTTACAACCTGCTAGGACCTATAACTACATCCACCAACCACTATACCTACTGTCTACTATTTAGGATGATTGTCATGACTGTAGATGAGATGAGCAATACAGGCAAACAGCTAGGACTCACTAGTTCTTCCAGTCAGTACCCTTAACCTTGGCTCGGCGGCTTTTAGGGAGTACATAGATTACTAGACGTATTGACAACATCATTTTCTCATTCTCACAGTCAGTCATTAAAAATTCCATCGAGTTGGTTGTCTTTCTCCCTCATTCATTCTTTCTTCATTCGTATTAATGAGCACGACAAATGAACATTTCTTTAATATATATATTTTTTTTCATGATGATATTCAATTGAAGTTCAAGCTTTGTATTAGGTAATGGCATGTGACCGGTGTGAATCCAGAAATATTATCCATTCCGATTGTGCGAGCTATTTTCAATTAAAATTCGTGATCGATCTGGGGATTTAATGGAAATTAATTAGAATGCAATCGCTTGTTTAATCGGAGTTGATGATTTTTCTGGGTATGAGATACTTAATAAAAACTTCAAATTTATTCATCACTCTTTCTTCTTCATTTCAGTTTATTAATTCTAGACGATCAATAATTAATAACGAAATACGAAAAATAATACACTAATACACCCCCTTCAACCAAACAAGTAGGTAAATTATTCTATCCTGCACAAGCTGGTAACCAAATATTCATTGTTTCTCACCCCATTGTTATCGTTTTATTATTCCGCTATGTTCGCATGTTACCAGCAGGTCAGTGTGCATAATTATATTTTGTCGTGCTCCAAAAAATTTCTTTTTACTTTCATCGTTTAATTATTTTCAACAGTTTAAATAATAACATTGAAGCTATCTATTTGCTCCCTAATCACCGCCTTAACGTTAATAAAAATTTTAAAATATTCGAGTTATTTTTAGTGTTATTATTATCATTATTACCACAGTTATTTTCTCTGTGAATGTAATCGTTGTGTTACATACTTCTCTCTCCCCGATTCTTTCCTTGCTGCCGGACCCGAAGGAGGAAAAAAGGTGACGAGACACGGAGCACCAAAAATCCACGATTGCAACCACAAAAAAAAATTGTTCTATTTTTTTACTGAGTCATTAACGAGAGAAAAAAAGCATTTTAATTGGATTTCATTTGATTAAAAGAACAAAAAAAGAAAAGCAATCTTGATGATAACAAAATTCAAATCATTTGGACTATTGAAGATTCCATTCACTTATCAGTTAGCCACTGTTCACCTAACTGATGTCACCTAATTCCTGGAAAATCACACCCAATTACCACTGCACAGGAATGGGCATGCGCATGATCCCCAAGGCCTGCATTATTTAATTATCGTTGGAGTTCAATCATCACGAGTTGTGATCAGTGTTTTAGTGTTTAAGTTGTCATTAATCCCTGTTTCAGTAATTTTTGTTTTTCATGTTGATGTTGAGTGTCATTTTCCATTTGTCGTGGTTGTTGCACGTATTTGTTATTACGGGGTAACGAAGGAGTTTAAGATTGAATCGTTTGTTGACGGAGGTCTAAGTGCATTTCATAATTCTAAAATTCGGAAATCCCAACAACTAAGTGGATTTACGGAAAAAAGTTGGAAGATCTGTTGTACCGCAAATTTCTTCAGCTATGAAAAGTTTTCTTAAGAGACCTCGAGAGTAAAAAAACGTACTGAAATGCAGGCAAAGCTTTGCGCTATTAATTCTTCGCCAAAAGAGGATGCGCAAGTGTGAAAGATGGAGTAGAAAATTCGTTCATTTTCTAGAAACCGGATGGAGTGAGTTGAGAGTGACTTGAAGAAGATAAATAATTTTAATAAATGTTGAAAAATGCGAGACGGGGACACCGCCATCTTTAAAGCCACTTGCGGCAGGGGGAGGCAGTGTCTGAGCAAGATGGCGGCGACCGCACCTGTTAACCACCTCGTATTTTTGAACATTTATTACAATTGGTTATCCTCTTCAAATCATCTTCAACTCGTTTCTTTCAAGTCCTAAAGAAGGAACGAATTTTTTAAGCTATTCTAGACGCTTTTTTGGCCCAATTTTGGCTCAGAATTCGTGCCACAAAGTTTTCCCCGTATGTCAGCAGTCGTTTTCTACTCCCAAAAAGCCTTAAAATTCCCCGGAACCACTAGTTTCCGAGATAATCCAACTTACACCGTTTCACTTTTTTGCTCCACATTTGGGCGTCCACCGTTTCGATCAAAGCCGACATACGATTCAATCTCACCCCTTGGTTACCCGGTAACTCCTCCCCATCAATCCTCCTAAACTAATCTCTCTCTCTCTCCCCAGATCTAGAAAAAGCCGAGTACCAGGTTTAACCCTCCTCCGAGAGATCCTGAACCCAGACAGTCCAGACTCCTGCAGATGTCGCCCCCTGGGTAAAATCTCCCGTGCCGCTGACGGTCGCTTCGTAATCGCCGACTCCCTAATGAGCTCCGCCAACAACAGCATAATGGACGCCTCGAGCTCGGACGACGGTGGCTTTCTCCCGAAGAAGAGCCGGCTGAAGTCCTCCTGGCGGCGTCCCCTAGTCGGCACAAGTCAGCTCAGTCTGCGTTCCGACAACAGCGGCGTCTCCCTGGGGATTCCCAACCGAGCAATGGGATACCTCAGCAATCACCTCAGCAACCTCATCAATCCCCTCGGTAAACAGCAGAAGATCTGCGCAATCGCGTCACCTGGATTTCTCGCGAGTTCCCCGAACAGCGGACAGATCATCTGGACGACGAATCCCTCGCTCTACTTGACGGACCTCAGCTCGGTGCGGCAGCCTTCCTCGGTGGAGCGTTCCTATCCCACTAACGAGCTGACCCCCCCAGACTACCACCACCTGCAGCTGAAGAGTGTCCACCAGCGCTACAGCCAGGAACTGCCTTCGCTGAAGGCGATTCACGCTGAATCGAGACGATTCGTCCCAGTTCAGCCCTTAGCCACGTCATCACCCCCGCAGCCGGGGGGCATTCGTCCGCGTGCCAGACTGCCTCCCAGACACGCAAGACACGCCCGATCAGCCCCAGAATTAGCCGCCTCCCCTGATCTACACATGACGGAAACGTCGCCTGAAAGTAGATCGAGTTCGTCAGGATTCGGCAGCAAGAACACGAGTCAAACGCAGAATCAGAGTTCAAGGAGTGGAAGCACTGTTGCCGAGTGGCGTCCGCCGCCTTACAGGCCACCACCGCCTCCACTTCTTGGACGGTGGCTTGAACTTCAGGATCACCAGCAAATCCCCGTCAAGATTCCTCACAGTCACGCGCACATCGCCGTCGATGTTGGCAGTGTGGACGGACATTACGAGTTTGATCCTGTGAGCTGCACTCCAACGCCGACTTCGGCGTCGACGCCGACTAGGGAGGAGCGTCCGCCGGTTCACCAGATTCATACGATTCATCTGCCCCATATTCACCAGGTGCACACCACTAATACGGTTCAGGGGAGCTCGAGGTATTCCAGGGATAATATTGAGGCGAGGGTGCAGGCTATGAAGGCGGAGTTCCATCAGTTCAGGCAGAGGCAGGCCAGGCGACGACAGAGTGCGCATTTGGAGAGCGCTTGCTGACGGTAGATGAGGTTGGGGGGGCACGGTGGTGGCGGGTTGAGGAGGGATATGAGGAGGTTGAGAATGATGAGAACGATGAGGGGGAGGGTCTGGGAGGTTCCGGAGGAACGCGAGGTCTCGGATACTGATGGGTCAAGGGAAAGTTGAAGGGCAGGTTTTGGAGATTATGAGAATGTTTGGAAGTTTCATGTGAACTTAATTGTTGTTGGCATCATTCAAGATTGATAACATGAGTCATGGAGACTCATTCAACCCCCACCACGAGGTCTACGTAGCTCCCCGAATCGTCCAGTTTACATGATTGAACTATTGAAGATAATATAAACAAGAAACAAAAATGAATAGGGGCGGAGGTAGACTTCTATCAATTCAGAAAGAGGTAGGCTAGACGATGACAAAAGAAAGAAGGATATGAAGAGGTTGAGGATGATGAGGGGGAGGGTCTGAGAGGTGCCGGAGGAATGCCAGGCCTCGGATATTGATAGATCAAGGCAAAATTGATGGGCAGGTTTTGGAAGTTATGAGAGTGTCTGGAGTTTTCTTGGAGATGGGGAACTTTGAATGAGCCTTGATATCTCCATGTGAACTTGATTGCTGTTGGAATGATTCAAGAGTGATAACATGGGTTATGGAGACTCAATTCAACCCCAACCACGAGATCTACGTAGCTCCCCGAATCATCTAAAGTCTGCATAATTTGACTATTATAGAGAATACAAACAAATAATCAACAAAAATGAACAGGGGTCCATCAATTTCATCAAAGTTCCTGATTCCCACTCCAAAAGAGTTCCATCAATTCAGGAAAAAGTACGCCAGGCAATGACAACAGAAGAAAGGATATGAAGACTTTGAGGATCACGAAGGAAGGATCTTAGAATAGCTGGAGGAATACGAGGTCTCGGATAATGATAGGTCAAAGGAAAGTTGAAGCGGAGGTCTTGGAAGTTATGACAATGTCTGGAATTTTCTCGGAGACGAAGCAACTTCGAATGAGCCTCGACATTCTCATGTCAACTTGATTGATGTCGGAATGATTGAAGAGTGATAACATGAGTTACGGAGACTCAATTCAACCCCCACCAGTCGCTCTACGTAGCTCCCCGAATCGTATAAAGTCTTTATGATTAAACTACTGATCTAAATACCTAAACACTAATTAACCTGTTAATAGCCCAAGAGGAACTAAAAAGAAAGCAACTAAAACAATACATCTGCACGATTTGCGCAATCGCAACCGAAGAGTTTTTCATCAGTAAAAGAGAACAATTAGCTAGAGTTGATTCGAATATCAATCCTCCCGAGGATAAATGCCCCGTCTAGACAGGGGCAGGAGTTATCTCAGTAGAATTAAACAAGTAATAAAAATAAACCAAAAACCTTTAATTAACTCTGAATAATGGATACAACGTCGAGAACTCGACTGTTTCCACATGTTAGGGCGTTTTCGCAAAGCTGAAACAGATGGCAGCAGGTGAGAATGCACTCCATTTGCAAAAATCATTGAACAAGATGGTCGGATGAAGCTATCCTTGTCTGACCTATTGAAAATTCTTTGGACACGTGGCACCATTAGTTCGTGAATTAGCCGACTAACTTTCTAATTGGCTCCAAACCAGACTTATTAAAATTGATGGCACCAACAACTCACATCTAATTTGGTAATCAAACTAGGCCATCGGGGAGCCGAAAGAATACTCGAAACCCTCGAACTATCTCGGAATAAAAAAGAGCAGTAGAAACAAATACATATGACGCAGCGATAAACCACTGACTCTCAACTCGCTAGACCAAAAAAACAAAATTACTTCACGGCTAGTTATTGCGTGTGAAGTGTTTCCGGTGGCTCGACGTTAACACTTCAGCCCGCTAAAACCAACAATTATGTAATAACATCACATAATGGCTGAAAATACGTCTGAGAAGCGGAAAATCTATTGAATAACGATGCAATGATGTATAAAAGAACATTTAATCGAGACACAACGTTAAATTTAATCATAATGTAATGAATCATTGATCGATGATCGATTGAGAGAGCAAAACACGATGACATGACTCTAATGAAGTTGAAAAAAGCAAAACAATTAACGGTTAATAATTAATTGATGAGCAATGGACTCGAAACGTGATATTAGGCCGAAGCTTGCCTCGAGATTGCTTAAGGACTCACTCGTACTGCACTGCCTATTTAGGGTTTCACTAGCAACCCATCATATTATCGGCACAATAATTTTTCTTAAGCAACGTAAATTAATATTATAATTAATAAATTATAAAATAATGTGTTTTAATGAACAACAGGAGAAAAACGATTAAGAGGATTAATAAATACTTGAGTAATTGCATGGTCGGTCTCAGAATTTTTTTATTTTGCGATGTTAAAAACGTCCTTGGTGACGATTAATGTTGCGCGACTTGCCAATTTTAAAATGCGGCTGTCACAATCAGCGTCTCTTTCTCGCTCATCGTTTTTTAATTGTTTTAATGAGAAAATTCGTGGTACTTATGACTTATTTATAACTTCCATGGCCGGTAATCAGTATTTGACAATGACATTCGTCCAGGTGTTCTTGACATTTCGAGTGAATTGTGGGGAAAGGGGGGAATTAGGTGAGTGGAATTGGTTTTAAACGAAAAGGATAGTCTAATTATTTTTGTAGACATTGTTTTTTTTTCTTTCTCAAAAATGAAAGGGATAAACGATTGCGAATGATTTAGTGAAGGAATAGTAAAGGGTAACAAATTGATTCACCTTCTAGAAGTTTTATGAATCGAAGAGAGATTTTTAGAGAAATTTCACCATCTTCTAGAGAAAGGTAACCCTGTTAGAAAATTATTTCTGAAATTTCGAGTCAAGAATCTTCAATTATTCGACGACTCATTCACATGAAATTTTCGTATTAGGGATGTGCAAAAATTTCATGGCACGTCATATGAACGTTACATGACAGAGGCCAGTTATGACAAGTTTTGACCAAATTATGACGGCATTACGACATGACGGTCATATTCCAACTAGATAGATGGTCTGCATCAAAATTTTCGTCACATGACCAATTAGTGACGACATCGTCAACTGACCGTCAATAAAAAACGATGAAAATTAAAAGTAAAAGTCCTTTGATTTGATAAAATTGTCTGATCACACTCCTCGATTATGACCCTTTCTGTGACGTAAATCTTACACAGCCGTCATGTTCCATCTAAATATCAGTAAAAATGTCACACTATTCCACATTTCATGATGGCTTCTCAATTTTGTTACATTTTTTGTGACATAGATTCTATTTGAACGTCATATCCCATCTAAATATCAGAAATATTGTGATACTAGTCAAATTATGATAAAAAAAATGTGACGTCACATGACTGTCATAAATTTGTCATATGACAAAAAAATGTGACTGTTGTTTTCACATCTCTATTTCGTACATGTTGTTATTGATAAATTTGTCAATTTCTTGAATATTCACTGAAATTGCAATTTTCAGGTTCATGTAAGAATTTAAGCCATTGAAAATTGTAAAAATTCATGCAACTTTGTTTTGAATTTTCAATCTATGAGGTTTAATTCTGACAATGAGCTTCAGAGAATGTTTGAATAACGCTTCAAGTTGCTATTGACATATAATTGATCGTCTACCACGAAAAACTGAATCTTCTTGATTTTTCAATTTAAAAAATGTATAAGAAATTTCATTTGAAATTGAATGCAACTTCACAGCGTTGGAAATGTAAATGCAGCTATTCCTTAAAATTCATACCATTTCTAAGAGTA